TACAGACACCAGATCTTCGTACTGGTTCTGATCTTGTGACAATGAAACTGGACCAAATGAAAACAACGCCGTGGGTGTCATGTGTCATGTCCACCAGCAGGGTCCAGTTTGGGAGCAGGATAATTGACTGGAGCGGAGGAGTGGGAGCACAGAGTGATTTACGGCCGAGGGCGGCGAGCTTATCTCAGCTGGGATGTCACCGGGCAGATTAAACGCCTGGCACAGCTGATACGCCGCGCTGAAAATGGACGGGGTGGAGGAGCAGCGGGGGCCACGGGTGGTGCCGTGACCTTACGAGGCCTGCCTGGCAGAGACTCATTCAAAACCTGGGAATTCCACTGGAAGTTTGGCGATGGGGGGGGTTGGGTGGGGGGGGCAGAGAGAGAGAGAGAGAGAGAGAGAGAGAGGAGTGGTGCTGTGTCACCTGAATGGAATTTTGAATAGTCATCATATTTCTGACTCGCGGTGAAGTGTTCCCAGGGGGAGTACGGAATTTTGGGGCATTTTTGAACATTTCGGAACAAAAAATATTTTTTGCCAAAATGTAGCAAATAATGAAAAGGTTGAAATAACAAAATTTTTAGCAAAAATAAGCTTAAAAAAATTCAGAAAAATGTTTCCAGAGAAATAGAAAATATGACAAAAAATGTCAAAAAAAAAGTGTAAAAAAAATAAAAAAAATACAAGACAGAAATGTTGCATAAAATAAGTGCAAGAAAACTAAAGGTAAGAGCACAAACAACAGGAATTACACAAAAAATATACAGTTAAAATCAGCTTAAACTAAAAAATAAAATTAAAAAAAATAAGTTAAAAAAAAGTAGCAAAAACTGCCAGAAACAGGACGTGAATAAAATTATCTCAAGGTTAGCTAAAGACAAATAAATGCTCGATTTTTAAAAAAAATATTTTTAAAATTTTTTTTAAACTAAAAGTAAATGTGAATTTCACTGATTGTTTAAAAAGTTGCAGCTGCGTCATTTACAGGTTAATTAAATTCCTTAACCAGTTCATGACCAGACTTTGGGTTTGGACCTGACCACGTTTCTCACGTTTCATCTTTTTTCCCGACTGAGAGAGAGAGAGAGAGAGAGAGAGAGAGAGGTGTATGATGGGAACACAGGCGGACAGATCTGGAGGAGCAGCTGCACGGAGGACACTGGGCCAAATTTAGAACGGGAACAAGGGCCAAAACATATCACACATTTTTTCCCATTAACAGCATAGGTTTGAATCTAACTCGGCGCCAATTAGCTGCAGCATCGGCAGCGAGGGCTTATAAATAGAGCGCAGCGCGGGGCGGCCAGACAGACATCTCTGTCATGGCGGCGTGTGATTTCACATGTAATCATGTGAAGGGAAAATAACAGTATTCATATCAGCAGCTGGTTCGTTATAACTCGTGACGTGGAGTCTTGTGTGACAGATGGAGCGTCAAACATTTCGCCGCCGCCACCGCTGCTGCTACCTGTCATGGTGCAGCGCTGCAGCCGGGGCGGCGCTAACGCAGCTACGAAACATCAAGGCCTAGCAAAAAAAAAAATAATAACGAGAAGTTTGGTCAGACATAATAGAAGAGGCATAGCTATGTTAAGGCTAGCCAAAAAAAGTTGGCTAAGAAAAGCAGCAAATTAGTTTAGCTTTAGCCAAGAAAAGCCCGGCGCAAAAAGTTAGCCACTGAAAGAACAAAAAAATAAAATAAAATCAGAGACGAAGTTTAAATAAATATTTACAATTAAAATAACAGATATAAAAACGCTAGCTGAAAAAAATTAAGCTAACAGCATTCTTTAGCCGTTGTTAAAAAAATACAGCAAATACCTTTGCGGTACATTAGCTATTCGTTAGCCCGAACATTTAGCTAATTAATGAAGATGATTATCAGTAATTAGCTCAATGTATTTTCTTCATTGCTGAAAAAAAAAACTTTGCCTGATGTTGACTGGTGTTAGCTGTTAGCTGTTAGCTTTTAGCTGTGGTGTAGCCGCTGCAGCTAAAGCCTTATCTCTGGACTGGAGGGCTGGAATGAGGAGCATGTGGGCTGCAGGTCTACCTGTTTACTCTCAGTGTTTCCTCCATTGTCCTCCCCCCCC